CCACTCATCAGTTTCATTTTCATTCAATTTATATCATCACACCTAACATAACCTAAATTATATTCTTATCAATCCCATATATATATACTTAGGAAAGGATACTAAAAAGCAATAGCACTGGGATTACCAAACCCTACCAATATCACCTCATCTGTTCTTCTTGATTTTAACATTTCTTTAATTTCCGTTAATCTTAAACATATATATTGTCACCAACTATATCAAATATCAAAACAATTACTCATTCTCTTTCTAACAGGTTCCGTTTCTACTAAGTTAATGCAGATCAATTGGCGCAAAACTAATTTATTTTCTTGTATATCACACTTCTCTCCTCCCATCACCACTACTTTATAGCCATCTATTCTGGATTAAGAGAGGGACTGGTAATTTTTTAATACTGCTAACCACCACAATAATCCTATTCTCCAGCTCTTTTTTATCTCTGTTTTCCCCATCTTCTTCTCGGTGCCGTAGGTCTTTGTATTCTTGCACTTTCTTTCCCAAGAGGTCTCTTACGCCATCGTTTGTCTGTTTCCTTAATTGTTTGAATGTTTTACAGATCCTTAGAGCTTTCTTTAGTCCTTTATCTTTTGTTGTTTTCTTTTTCCCTCTCCAAAGAAGTTTTAAGGGACATTTTTTACTTGCTCCTTTTCTTTGTTTCTCTCGCCTATGTGTGTGAGAGTCTTCTTTTTGTATCTCAAGATTTGACGGCAATATCTGGGTATTGGAAGTCTCTCTCTCCTGCTCCCGTTTCTTTTCTTCCTCCCTTCCTTGCGTTTCTTGCGTTATTTCTTTCGTGTCTTTCCCTTCTTGGGTTATGCTCTGTAAGGTTTCCAGCATATTCTCACAAGCATTTCTCAACACCTTCTCACAGGTTGCCTTGATTGCTTGTTTCGCTTCTGTCATGAAAAAGTTTTGAAACTGTTCCCACGTAAGCTCAGCATTTTTAATGTCTCTGTTTAATGTCTCCTCCTCCATTTTCTTAACTTCTCTCCCGTCCGCTTAAATTTCCAATTATATCAATTTTCTCCTGAAGAATGACGTATATTTAACAAAAGATGAGCAAAAAAAAAAAGGAAGGCAAAATGCCCTTACCCCGTTTCAGACTCTTCAAACTTCTTTCCCCCGACATTTTTTCCGGCCGTAATTCTCATGTAGGGGGCTACTTCTCCAACGGGGCAATCCAGTTCAGTCAGCAACTGTTTTTCCTCCATGCAATGTTTAAAGGAACACCTTTATAATCCAAGTTGAAAGTACAAACAAAAATAAAAATGGATGGTCGCTTCTCATGAACATGGCAGCCATGTTCTCCTGCTTCTTGCTTCAGCTTCAGGGCTGTTTCGGACACCTCTCCCGCCCTGCCAATTGCGGGGGAGGGCCGAAAAAACGCCCCCTGCGCCCACCCACCCCCTCTGGGGAGTTAGTCAAGCTCCCCCGACCTTCGGGGGGCTCAAATAAAGCAAAAACAGGTCGGGCGGGGACGGAGCAGCTTGCTCCCGCCCGTCTGTCGATGCGCCGTACCGGAAGTAGTCTGGGAAGACCTCTGGCATAGAAATGGTTTTAACCAGATAATAAACTGTCTCCCAAATGTCTGTTGCCTGTCAGCCTTGCTTGGGTTCCAGTGACATATGAGAGATTACGTGTCTACCCGAAATGTTTGCCTCGTCAGTTGTGAGCCCCAGACTCACTCAACAGTGGCTGGTGGGATGCTGGGGAACATCTCTAACCCTGAGGGCACCTCCGTCGGGGTCCCCGATAGCGGGGTCCCCGACCTTTTTGAGATTGTGGGCATCACTGGAATTCCGACACGGCACGACGGATGTTGCTGTGGTGGTAAAGGTAAAGGTTCCCTTGCTCGAACGCCAGTCGAGTCCAACTCTAGGGTTGTGGTGCTCATCTCCGTTTCCAAGCCGAAGAGCCAGCACTGTCTGAAGACGTTTCCGTGGTCATGTGGCCGGCATGACTAAACACCGAGGCGCACGGAACGCTGTTACCTTCCCACCGAAGTGGTCCCTATTTATCTACTTGCAATTTCTTGCTTTCGAACTGCTCGGTTGGCAGGAGCCGGAACTGGAGACGGGAGCTCACTCCGTCATGCGGCACACTCGGGTCTCGAACTGCTGAACTACCGACCTTCCACAGCCTGCAGTTCAGCGTCTTAACCACTTGAGCCACCTATTTATCTACTTGCAATTTCTTGCTTTCGAACCGCTAGGTTGGCAGGAGCTGGAACTAGAGTCGGGAGCTCACTCCGTCATGCGGCACACTCGGGTCTCGAACTGCTGAACTACCGACCTTCCACAGCCTGCAGTTCAGTGTCTTAACCACTTGAGCCACCGCAGCTGTGGTGGTATCTGCTACCAAATAATATTCTTTTTTTAAAAAATCTGCAAGGTCGATCAAATTCTCAGTGGCCAATCAGAAGCCTTGCCTGGGCAGAAGCCAATGGCGCCCAGGGCCACCACGTTGGGGACCCCTGCCCTTAACATTGCTCTCCGGGATCTGACTTGGCTTTCTCCTTGTTCCCGCTGCAATACGACCTCTCTAGTTCAAGGTGTCTTAACGTCTCTCCTCTCTCTTTAGCTTCACTCCCTCGTTTCTGCGGCTGGGATCCTGGAACGTGGTGATGTTCGTGACCTACGAGCAGCTGAAGCGCGCCATGATGGCGGCCCGCGGATCTCGGGAGGCCCCCTTCTGAGCCAGCGGAGGAGTGCAGTTTACAGATTTCTCGCGTGCAACGAAAACCCACTGCTTGGGAGTGTTTCTTTCCTGCCTCTCTATCTCTCGGTGGAGTCTTCTCCTTTCCGGTCCTTGCGTCTTTTTTTAATGTATCACTTCTCGTCTTTAATGTTTTGTGGCTTCTCTTGCTTGTTAGTCGGTCTCGGGGGTCCATGCTGAGCCGGAACTTTTTTCCTCTGTGCTTGCTGGGGGATGGCGGAGGAGGGACCGTAGTTTCGAGTATCTTGAGCCGCCTTTTTTTTAGTTATGTTTTTAAAAGATAACTTGCTGCTTGTTGTCACCGCTTTCCCCCCCCCCCCTTCCCCGGGCAACAAAATGTCGCCATCCAGGAAACGGATCTTAAGTTCTGAAGAATTTTAGGTTTCGGAGGCTACATGCGGTGTCCCTCATTCTGTTTGTTAATGGAGGCCAGGTGAGCGGTCAGCCATATAGATTTTTCTTTTAAGGAACTCTTGAAATCGGAATTACGACTGTGGCCTCCCCCCACCTGTAGAGGTTGCGCTTTAAGCCGCGTCTCCCCAGCCCCACAGGTCGCAGAGCCCCAAAACCAGTTCTGCCTTCAGGGTCTTTCTTTGAGGGAAGGACAGCTTCGTGGCTCTCTTTAAAAAGCACAGTTTCTCGGAAGGACCGTATATGGTGGACATTATTAAATTCCACTGGAACTTTCCCATAGAAAAATTGCCCTGTTGCAAAGGTCTATGAAACCCTCGTATCAAAACTCCCTTTAAAACAAATCTAACATTAAGGGAGAGTGGAGACGCCCGCCTCCCTTGGGGTGTCGGCCTGATCCAGGGACTTTAACCGACCTCATGCATAGAAATTTAATAGTTATTATGTCAGGGAACTAACGGTGCAGTCCTGCGCGGAGATATTCCAGTCTAACCTGTCAATTTCAGTGGGGTCTAGACCGGAACTCTGCAAAGGATTGCGCTGTAAGCGTACAAACTCTGGCCGGGGACTTCTTTCATTATTTTATTTTTTATTTATTCGATTTTTATCCAGCTCCTTTCCCCGCCAGGCAGGGATGAGGGCTCATTATATAGTCAAGTGACATGAAAGAAGGTCTGCTTAAATGTTGACACCCCCCCCCCCCCAGCCTTCTCTTTTCCCGAGTTAAACAAGTTTGTCTCGGAAACAGTCCAGCGGGACAGACCTGTGTGTGTGTGTGTATACCGCCGGAAGTGATACGAAATGACCTTAAGTTCTCAAGCTACCATCTGTGGGCTTTTCCACATCCTCATTTTCTGCGCTCGTCCTGTTTCTTGTAGGCTTTTTCTTGATCCGCACATGTTTTGCTCCCTCTAATGGTTGACTTGATATTACACTGGTTTATGTCCGGCGTGAAACATGCAGATTAAATCTGAAGGGAGATACGCTGGACATAAACAGGTGTAATATCAAATCGACCACCGGAGGGAGCATAACTCATGTGGGACAGAACCCCCCCCCCCAAGAAATGGGAACTTATAAGTGAGGAAAAGTCCCCCAGCCTTCTCTTTTCCCGAGTTAAACAAGTTTGTCTCAGAAGCAATCCAGCGGGACAGACCTGTGTGTATACAACGGGGAGTGATACGAAATGACCTTCAGTTCTCAAGCTACTATCTGTGGGCTTTTCCACACCCTCATTTTCTGCATTTGTCCTGTTTCTTGTGGGCTTTTCCCCGTTCCGCACATGTTTTGCTCCCTCTAGTGGTTGACTTGATATTACACCGGTTTATGTCCGGCGTGAAACATGCAGATTAAATCTGAAGGGAGATACGCTGGACATAAAGAGGTGTAATATCAAATTGACCACCGGAGGGAGCATAACACGTGGAACAGAAAACCCCCCCCCCCCAGAAACGGGAACGTATAAGTGAGGAAGAGTCCTGTCTCTAACCTTAGTGCTGTAATAGCTTGGGTCTTCAGTTAACGTCTTACTGACCGGCCCTATTGGGAGTCTCCCCTTGCCTTCGGCCGGTCCAGTGGCTTTCTGTCAAATGAAGCTTGTGGAACAAGGGGGGGCCCCCTCTCCACTCATGACAACGCGGTGGGTTGGAAGCGGCGCTTCTGGCACCCGGTTCCGATACTCCCGTAGCCTCTCCATCTTTAAGAATGGAAGTGCTTGACTTGAAAGGGTACGAGGATATTGGGAAGAGCTTTTGGGGTACAGAGCAGGGGGGGTATCTAGGATGTGCCAAGTCAAGCTGGAATCTTTACCGTAGGACTTCCTACCCTTTTGGCGAAGGAGGGTGGGTTTTGGAAACAAGGTCTTGTGAATGAGCTACGTGCAAGAATAGGGGCGCTACCGTAAAGGACGTCTGGCAGGCATGGTTTTCTCCAGGTCATGCGTACGAGATGCAGTTTCTTAAACCCTCCCCTCCCCGCAGCAAAAGTGTCTTTTGTGAGCCCCAGAATTAGGTTTGCTAAGATTGCAAGAAAGGGGGCTCTTATAGCTTAGCCCGCTCCCCTTTCCCCCTCTCAATAAAATAAAATTAATTCAGTTCTTTTTTGGTAGAAGCCACGTGGTGTCTCTGTCCTTCCCGCAGATCTATTTTAAAAAAGAGGCTTTTTGAGTTGCAAGTCGGGATGTTTTTTGGCACAGACAACCTTACTAATTCTTTTTCTGGAACTAACAATGAGCACAATTTCTGCAGGGCTCGGCAAAATACCAAATCCCGGCTGCTCTGTATTAACTTCAGAGGAGACCTTGCGTATCTCTGGGCCTATCCAGGTGCATGTTGTGTGAAGCCACCTCTGACGGTGCCAAGTTGTAATGAATCCTGTTTTAAAACGGAAACGTCTTGTGTCTGTGCATGTCTTTTAAAAATAAAGCTACAGTAGGAAGCAAGCCCTGGTCTAGATTGTGTGGTGGTTTTTGGGGCTCATCAGATTGAGTCCAGTACAGTGCAATTCAGAAGACGACGAGACGACTCGATTTTTATCCTGCCCTTCACTTGGGAGTCTCAGAGAAGCTTACAATCTCCTTCCCTTCCAGACACCCTGTGAGGTAGGTGGGGCTGAGAGAGTTCTTTTGAGAACTGCTCCTGAGAGAACTTGTAACTGACCCAAGGTCACCCCAGCAGCTGCATGCGGAGGAGTGGGGAATCCAACCCGGTTCTCCCAGATTAGAGTCTGTGCTCCTAACCACTACGCAAAAGGAGGAGGAGATTAGATTTATACCCTGCCCATCACTATCTGAAGAACTGCTCCTGAGAGAACAGATCTGAAAGAACTTGTGACTGACCCAAGGTCACACCAGCAGCTGCATGTGGAGGAGTGGGGAATCCAACCTGGTTCTCCCAGATTAGAGTCCGCGCTCCTAACCACGACACTGAACTGAATGAATCAAGCATCTATACTAAAAAGAAATGGGTTTAAAGAACTGGAGTCTGGCGGGATTTGCAAGTTGCCGTTTTAAAGTGTACCTCTCCTGAAGTACCGTGCTCTGCAGCTGAAATGGAATTAACCAGAGAGGTATTTCTTTTTGGGGGAGGGGCTTGTGGCTCAGTGGCAGAACCTCTGCTTGGCATGCGGGAGGTCCCAGGTTCAATCCCCAGCATCTCCAGTTAAAAATGAACCAGACAATAGGTAATATGAAAAACCACTGCCTGAGACCCTGGAGAGCCGCTGCCGTTCTGAGCAGACAGTAGTGTCCTTGATGGACCAAGGGTTTGATTCCATTCAAGGCAACTTCAGCTGTGCATTATTTAGGAGAGGGGCCGTGGCTCAGTGGAAGAGCCTCTGCTTTTCATGCAGCAGGTCCTGGGTTCAATCCCCGGCATTTCCAGTTTAAAAGGACCAGGCAGCAGCGGATGTGAAAGACCTCCGCATGAGACCCTGGAGAGCTGTAAAGAGGGGCCGTGGCTCCGTGGCAGAGCCTCTGCTTGGCACGCACTTGCAGGCCCCGGGTTCAATCCCCAGCATCTCCACTTAAAAGGACCAGGCAGTAGGTGATGTGAAAGACCTCAGCCTGAGACCCTGGAGAGCCATAGGGAGGGGCTGTGGCTCAGTGGCAGAGCCTCTGCTTGGCACGCACTTGCAGGCCCCGGGTTCAATCCCCAGCATCTCCACTTAAAAGGACCAGGCAGTAGGTGATGTGAAAGACCTCAGTGGCTCAGTGGTAGAGCATCTCCAGGTAAAGGCTCAGGTAGCAGGTGACGTGAAAGACTACGTCTGGGGCAGTGATGCTCTGTCTTGGTCCCTGGGGGGGGGGCACAATGGGAGGGCTCCTGGAGTTCTGGTCCCACTGGTGGATCACCTGATGGATCACCTGGGCTTTGGCCACTGTGTGACACAGACTGATGGCACCGTGGCTTCTGTTCTTACGACCTCTGCCTGAGACTCTGGAGAGCTGCTGCTACCGATCTGAATAGACATGACTGACCTCGAGGGGCCTGCCTCTTCCCATAGGGCCGTTGCATTCCATGGGGGGGGGGTTTCCAGTGGTTCTGCAAAGCCGTACTACCCAAAATCCCAAACTGGAAGAAAATCACCATGGCCGGGCTGTGGTGCTGAGAGTTTCATTTATTGCAATCCGACTGGTACTGTTTTAACAGCAGGCGTCTGTGCTGCTTCTAGCTCTTCTTAGCGGTTTCCTATTTCCAGTCGAACTCTCAAAAGCACTCAAAGGTGGGCTCTTTGTCCCTTGGTTTTCCTCCTCTTGAGAGACACAGGGCTGCAGCCCTTAAGGGCGTGGGCTTCCAAGATGCACATCTCCCCCGGGGGGTGCAGGGCTTCCTGGTGTGGCTTTCCTAAGGACAGTGACTCCTGCCAACTCGCACACAGGCCAGCGGAGTTCCACATCTGCTAATCTGCTGCTGCTGCTTTTGAGAATACAAAACCGAGGTAAAAGGGTGTGTGGGAAGCTTGGCTTCTGGGTCAGCCCCTTGGCAGCGGGCAGAGGCCGGGCAAGCCCGTCTCAGGACAAGAGGGCTTCCCGCAGGAGCTGCTTCTTAGCTGGGGTAAGCCGGGCCGGAAAGACGATGTCGAAATACATGATGAGGTCCCCCTTGCGGGTGGGGTCCTTGGGGAGTGGCATTCCTTCGCCCGGCACGACCTTGAAGTACTTGGAGCTGTAAAGAGAAGAGAGAGAGGGGGGAGATTGGATTCCTACCCCGCCCTTCACTACCCGAGGGAGTCTCAGAGCGGCTTTAGCTTGGAGCAACGATGGCTGAGGGGTGACACAATTGAGGTTTACAAGATTACACATGGGACAGAGCAGGCAGAGAAAGGAGTCCTTTTCTCCGTTTCTCGCAAGACACGAACTCGTGGGCACTCCATGAAATTGCTGAGCGCTCGGGTTAGAACGGATAAAAGGAAGTCCTCCTTCACCCAAAGAGTGATTAACACATGGGATTCACTGCCAGAGGAGGTGGTGGCAGCTACAAGCATGAACGGCTTCAAGAGGGGATTGCATAAACCTCTGGAGCAGAGGTCCATCAGTGGCTCTTAGCCACAAGGTATAGACAGGAATTCTCGGTCTGGGGCAAGGGATGCTCTGTGTTCTTGGTGCTTGGGGGGGGGGGAACAGTGGGAGGGCTCCTGGTGTCCTGGCCCAACTGCTGGACCTCTTGATGGCACCTGGTATTTTTGGCCACTGTGTGGCAGAGTGTTGGACTGGATGGGCCATTGGCCTGGTCCAACATTGGCTTCTCTTATTTTCTTATGTTCTTAAGGTATAGATAGGAACTTTCATTGTGGGACAAGGGGTGCTTTGTAATCTTGGTCCTTGGGGGGGGGGGCAACAGTGGGAGGGCTTCTGGTGTCCTGGCCCCACTGCTGGACCTCCTGGTGGCCCCTGGTGTTTTTGGCCACTGCGTGACACAGAGTGTTGGACTGGATGGGCCATTGGCCTGATCCAGCCTTGGCTTCTCTTATGTTCTTATGGCTTACAATCTCCTTCCCCTCCCTCTACCCCACAACAGACCTCCTGTGAGGCAGGTGGGGCTGAAAGAGCTCTCTCAAGAACTGCTCCTGAGAGAACAGCTCCGAGAGAACTTGTGACTGACCCAGGGTCACACCAGCAGCTGCATGTGGAGGAGCAGGGAAATCAAACCCGGTTCTCCCAGATTAGAGTCTGCGCTCCGAACCACTACACCAAACTGGAGGAGATGCAGACTCACATGAGCGGGGGCGGGGGGAGATTTACCCCACCACATTTCCTTCAGGAGTCAGAGGAGCATCCCGTCCCGCTTTCTCAAGGGGCTGGTTCTGTTCTGTGCCGGACTGGTCGAAGCCCAAGCCCCTGAGAGCAAGAAGGGCTTTTCCCAGCAGTGGCTAACCCAAGGGACAACAGATTTTATATCCCCCCCACTGGGATTCAAAGTGGCTTTTAGAATGCTGTTCTCCCCTCCCCAGTTTTCTCACAACAGCCCTGCAAGGTAGGCCAGGCTGAGAATTTGTCAGGGGCCCAAAGGTCACCCCAGTGAACTTCCCATGACAGAAGAGGGGATCGGAAGCCTGGGGTCCTAAATCTGCCACTCTAGCCACTATATAACTATTGTATGGCATTGGGTATAGCCAGGGGGTCCTAAGATTGTCTGGCAGCCAGACGTTCTAGCTCTCTTGGCTTTATGCACCACTAGGTGGCGAGCTAGACTGGTTTTTTTAAGGCAGGAGACATTTCAGAGGTGGTTTGCCATTGCCTGCCTCTGCTTCACGACCCTGGTATTCCTTGGAGGTTAAGAGCCAGTTTGGTGTAGGGGTTAGGAGTGCAAGGACTCTAATCTGGGAGAAGCGGGTTTGATTCCCCACTCCTTCACATGTGGCTACTGGGGTGACCTTGGGTCAGTCACAGGTTCTCTCTGAGCTGTCGTCTCAAGGGCAGTTCTCGAAAGAGCTCTCTCAGCCCCGCCTGCCTCGCAGGGTGTCTGTTGTGGGGAGGGGAAGGGAAAAAGAGTTTGTAAGCCGCTCTGAGACTCCTTCGGGTAGTGAAGGGCGAGGTATAAATCCAATCTCTTCTTATTTATTATTTTATTTATTTATTGTTTTATATTTATATCCCGCCTTTCCAGATATCTGGCTCAAGGCGGATAACAACATTAAATTGGCATAAACAACCAAGATAAAACAATTGATAAATACCATACCAGTTAAAACAACACCAGTTGCAATTAACCCAACAGAAATTATTAGCCACAAGGTATAGATAGGGACTCTGGGGCAAGTGATGCTCTGTCTTCTTGGTGCTTGGGGGGGGGGGGTCAACAGTAGGAGGGCTTCTAATGTCCTGGCCCAGCTGGGGGAGCTAGCCCCTGGTATTTCTGGCCACTGTGTGACACAGAGTGTTGGACTGGATGGGCCTTTGGCCTGATCCAACATTGGCATCTCTTATGTTATGTTCTTATGTTAAATGGCGGTAATCCAAATCCCATCCAATGATAGGGGTAGCGTCCAGCAGAATCTCAGCCCCGGGGGGTGTTCTAAAATTTCAGACCAGACGATGTTCCAGGGCACACTCATCAGTGGCAGCCCCTAATCGAAAGCCCAGTGGAAGAGCTCCATCTTCTTGCATTATGCACCACTAGGTGGCGAGCTAGACTTTGTTTTTAAGGCAAGAGAGGCTTCAGAGGGGGGTTTGCCATTGCCCACCTCTGCGTCACGCCCCTGGTATTCCTTGGAGGTCGCCCTTCCAAATACTAGCCCAGGCCGACCCTGCTTAGCTTCCGAGATCAGGCTAGCCTGCGCTGTCCAGGTCAGGGCACTCTACCCACTGCACAACACCGGCTCAGCACTTCCAGGCCCTGGACGGCGGGGTAACTTACTGGACAATGTCGTTGATGGGGATATTCAGCAGTCTCTCGTCCAGCGTCCTCACGTCCACGGTGCAGCCGACCAGAGCCTGCGGGAGGGAAGGGTCGGAGGGTGACTCCTAGGGTGGGGAGGAAATTCTGAGATGCTAAAAAAGAGTCCCTGCCCTTAAAGGAGCCCGCCGCCATGTTTCTGCGTGAGTCCCTGTGCTCAGCAGTGTCTGCAGACTTGGTACATCAGAACCAGGGGTCATTTCCTGCAGGAGCGCACAGGAGCGGAGCTCCGGCAGTAAGGAGCCCAGGGGGCGGGCACATGCAACAAGCCCTGCCCCCTGCTCCCAGCAGCCCAGTCGGGCCACCAAGCGCAAGAAGCAGCCAAGTAAGTTGCAGAGTCGTTCCCCC